CGCTGAGCTAACAAAAAAGTATTTTTTTGGCGTCAGATCTACGTCAACTTTCCGCTGACGCCCAGATAAGGCGTTAGTTCTAAGAAACCAGGCCTTGAGCTAACAAACCAGTATTTTGTTGGCGTCAGCGTGACGTTGACGTCCGCTGACGCCCAGATAAGGCGCTTGTCCTAAGAAACCAGACCTTAAGTTTGTGCGCCTCCGTCCATGTCCTAGTTGCTCAACTAAAAGCGTTTTGAAGTACCTTGATGAATTTACCGATGATTTTGGTTCTCCGAGGCGAGTAATTACAGACAGAGGGAGCTGCTTCACGTCCTCGGCGTTTGAAGGCTATTGTAAGCAATTAGGAATCAAGCATACATTAAACTCCAGTCAAAGACCGCAAGCTAATGGACAAGTTGAACGCATCAATCGTATACTTATTCCAATGATATCTTCCAATGTCCAAACGGAATCTCACAAGGATTGGGATAAAATATTACCAGAAGTACAACGGTGTATTAACTGGCCTCCGAGTAAGTCGACTGGAAAACCTCCTTTTGAACTCTTGTATGGATACACGCCAGTAAAGCCTGGATATTTTCCTCAAGATCTACTACCAACATCAAATGATTACGTAAATCCAACAAAACTGCAAAGAAATGCCCAAGAAAGTATTATCATTGCACAAGAAAAGATGAAAAGGAATTATGACAAACATCGGTGTGATGCATTTAAGTACAATATAGGTGACGTTGTGGTCGTAAGACGATTACCTGAACAAACTACCTTATCTAACACTAAAACCCAAGTTAAGTACAGAGGTCCTTTAACAGTCATCAAAGTATTACCATCCGACACTTATCAAGTTACTGATTTACGCGTAGTTGGACAAGGAAGAAGAAGGCAACATAATTATACGACTACCGCCCACGCTTCGCAAATGAAACTATTTCATCTGGTCAACGACAAAGATCTGTCTGATGATGAGGACAATATTACTGGAAGTAAGGAAAACTTCATTGCTTGTGAACCCATAAACGACAACAATAGTACAAATCAATGCAACGACGATACAAGTTTAAGCCAAGATAACAGTAGACCAAAGAGATGTAAAAGTGTGCCGCTTCACTTGAAGGGTTATAAGTTGTTTTGAAGGGACGAGGTCGTCCAAAAGTCAGGATGGTCGAATGTAAAAGTGTGAACGTGAACATTAATTATATTCTTATTACATGAACGTGAACATTAATTATATTCTTATTACATCTTTAGTATTCCATGTTTTGGCAACAGCAGTTCTTGTGTACGATATAGATTTGAGCTTTTAGAATAACGGTGTGCGTAAATTTTAATAAAAGTAAACAGTAAATGATCTGCGTTTGCTTTTCTTTTCTTTTAAAAGTTGTTTCTTACACAAAGACTGAGCAATTCTCATTCAATTCAATTTTAGAATTCTATAAAAGATTAAAATATGCAAACGATATCATAATCGATATAAAGAATGTTTAAATAATAATTACCTTTTGCTTACGATAGTTTTTGGATGCAATATTTTACAATTGACTGATGTTTAGCTTCCATCCAAATGAAAAACTTTTCTAATAACAAATATCATCTTAAGATCAGAACTGTCAAGTTTATCATCCCTGTAAGATGACTACCTGTCTAAGTGTACCACCATTTTCAAAAAAATTTATCCCATCAAGGAGAAAAAAAATCGTTTGCAACCTAAATATCTGTTCATCTTGTATGTTGACCGCTGAAATAAATCAAATTTGTCTAGGATTGTTATTGAATACTATTCTAAAACCTTCATAAAGTTATCAAGAGAAAAATACTTTTTTTAAGAAAATTTTCGAGGCTATCATACTGTATCACACTGCTGAATAGCTCAAAATGATTAACTTTTTCATTTTAAGATGCAGTAAGAGAATTCCGGTAATAACCGAAAGAAAATAGAAAAACTTTAAGTGAGGAAATCTATGAAGAAGCAGTCGCTTCAAAAATATTCTAGTTGCTTTAGGTTAAAAAAGAAAAGATATGACATATTTATTGTGAACTGATAACATTGATATTAAACCAAGAACAATAGACTGGTTTGTTTAAAATGTGTATATACGTGTTTGTTAGAGTAATTAGTTTAATATTAATTCTATGCGATAAATAGTAATTCATTCAAGTTATTATTTTCAATTTTACCCCTTGGAAAATCGGATATCGGCGTCTCTTTAATGCACTTTTTTTCTGACTGGAAGCAAAAATAAATTTTAGTGTTTTTTAATTATGAAAACAACAGCTTATAGGTTTAAAAATCTGATAAATTATAGAATTGAATTTGTACTAAAATATAAAATCCGAAAAAAATAGTTGAAAATCTTCTTAATTCATATTCAAAAATTTATCAATAATTGATTTTGTAAATTAAAGAAAATTCATTTTCGTATTTGGAAAATTTTGCCTTTAAAGCGGAAAAAGACACCGGTGTTTCATATCGCATTTCATAACCATAAATTACTAAAATGCTAAATATAATATTTCTCATTTATTTTGACTTAAATATATAGAAAATAAGGAAAAATGTCTAACAAAGAAGAGAATNGTACAATCTAAATAGCTAATATACTTTTTAAAAAGCCAATAAGAACATTGATAGAATTCTTCTACATAAGTACAATACTATGTCTTTGAAGATAAAATACTATGTCTTTGATGATAATATACTATGTCTTTGTGCTAGAACATTGTGTTCATTGGCGAGTGAGCGCAGCGAGCCATGGTTCACGGCGTGAACCACATAGGATTGCGTGGCAATTCTCGGGGGTTGGCGAGAGTTAGCGAGCAGGGGGCGGAGCCTCCTAGTATGATATATTTATTGTGAATTGATGACAGTGGTATTAAGCCAAGAGCAATGAACTGGTTAGTTTAAAATGTGTACATACGTATTTGTTAGAGTAATTAGTTCAATATTGATTCTATGTGATAAATAGTAATTCATTCAAGTTATTATTTTAACTTTTACCCCTTGGAAAATCGGATATCGGAGTCTCTTTCATGCACTTTTTTTCTGACTGGAAGCAAAAATGAATTTTAGTGTTTTTAAATCAACAATGAATTTTATCAATCAATGAATCAATGAATTTTAGTGTTTTAAAACAACAACCTATAGGTTTAGAAATCTGATAAATTATCGAGTTAAATTTGTACTAAAATATAAAATCCGAAAAAAAATAGTTGAAAATCTTCTTAATTCATATTCAAAAATTTATCAATAATTGATTTTGTAAATTAAAGAAAATTCATTTTGGTATTTGGAAAATCTTACCTTTAACGCGGTTAAAAGACATCGGTGTTTCGTATCGTATTTTATAACCATAAATTATTAAAATGCTAAATATTTTGACTTAAATATATAGAAAATAATGAAAAATGTCTAACAAAGAAAAGGATCATACTTTGTGTTTTGTAAACCAAAGCAAGAAACAACGTGTGAAAAACACCAACGAAAATGTATAAATTATCACACTATAATTTCATTTCTATCAACAAGAAACTAATTCGGTGTCTGTACATCAAATGAAGGTAGAAAAATAAAGAGAGAAGCACTTGAAAAGAACCACCGGTGGGTTAAACGCCACTTTTCATTGATCAATATTTCCATATTGTTGAAGATAGCATTAAATATTTACTATTTAATCTTTAATTTTTTTCTCTCTGAAATTCCCTATTGTTATTTGGTGTTTTATAATAAAAAAAAAAATACTAAAAATTTAAATAACTATAATTAGTTAAATTTAAAATGATATCTTAATTAAAATTTTAAATTCAAATAACAAAATTGAAAAATATTTTAAAATTACTGCTTAATTTATTTTTGAAATATATAATTAAATAAAAATGAGTTTGCCGATTAAAATATGAAACGGTACTTTTCCTTTTCATCGGCGCAAGTAAATTCACATATTTTACTTATCGATTTTCATGGTTTCAGCTGAATTCATTGCTCTTGGTGATTGGTGACTTCGCATTGGCGAATTTATCGCCTGTGCCGGCGAAATAGAGAAGTACTTATAATACATATTATAAATATTAAACCAAAAATTTCAATTTCGGAATATTTTATTAATATTCCGGAATGTTTCATTATTAATATTTTCGGAAAATTTTTATATTTTCAAAACACAATAATTTTGTCCTTAATTGTATTATCTTACTAATATTAAAAAAATAAGCGTTAAAGCTATTTAATTTATATAATTTTACTATAATTCAGATATATTATTTGAGTATTTATAATATTTCATGGTAAATAATTTATTTTTAATAAATAATTCCTGATATTTTAAAGAAAACATTCTAATTTTATTAATTGGTTTAAGTAAAACAATCAAATTGCGAAGTATATAAGATGAAAAAATAAATATATATTTTAACGAATTAGAACAGAAATATTCATATTGTATTCATATATATATATATTCATTGTATTATTAATATTCCGGAATGTTTCATTATTAATATTTCCGGAAAAAATTCATATTTTCAAAACACAATAATTTTGTCCTTAATATGTATTATCTTACTAATATTACAAAAATAAGCGTTAATGCTATTTAATTCATATAAATTCACTACAATTGAGATATATTATATGAGTAGTTATAATATTTCACGGTAAATAATTTATTTTAATAAATAATTCCTGATATTTTAAAGAAAGCATTCTAATTTTATGAATTGGTTAAAGTAAAACAATCAAATTGCGAAGTATATAAAATGAAAAAATAAATATATATTTTAATGAATTAGAACAAAAATATTCATATTGTATTCAATATGATTCGTTAATAATTTATATTTTATTATGAGTAACAATGTTAATAGCAAATTTGCAAAAAGCAAAAGGCGTTTAGTTTATTGAAATAGACACATTATTCTTTTATAAAATAAAACAAAGCAATTCAATTTTTCTTTATAGACATTTCTGGAGACATTTTTTAAAAACTAAAAAGGCAAAGTTCCACCTAAGCCAACAAAATAAAGAATAATTTAAGTCCATTTATCTCTGCCAATTCTAAACAGCCATATTTTCCGTTGTTCTTTATTGCTATCTCCAACAGGTAAGTGATATAATTTAAAGCATAATTTTGACTTATTAGAACATCCAAATGTGCGTGCAACAACCTGTCATTATCAATCTAAAATTATGAAACAAGTTTTAGATGAAAAGCATAAATAGAAATAACACATCACGTGCAATGATACTTCACCGTTTAAACTAGCCAACAAAATGGCGACTGTTTAGCCATATGATCGGCGGCAGCCTATCAAAATAGAAAGCGGCACAAAGGTTGCAAGGAAAGGAGTGACGGTGCTTGACTAAGTAATCTAAGGCTTTACTCTAATCAAGTTGTGTTGTGCTGTGATAGCTCAGGGGATAGAGCGTTCGAACCGGGTTCGAATCCCAGTCGATACGAATTCCGCATCCGGCTTGTACCGACAGCAGTGCTGACGTGAAATATCCTCAGTAGAAGACGGATCATGGGTTAGTCCCCTTGCCGTCAGGCTAACCGTGGGAGGCTCTCGTGGTCTTCTTCTCCATGTAACGCAAATGCAGGTTAGTTCCATTAAAAAGTTCTCCATGAAGGCAAATTTCTCCCAATACTTGATCCAGGAGTTCCCTTGTCTTCTGGATTGGGTTCAAAATTACAAGGCTACGGAGTTGAACATTGGTAGTCGTATCCCCATAAAATTGGGTCGGCTGTTCAACTACTGTTATGAAATAAAAAATAAAAAATCAAGTTTTGTAAACAATTTGTTTCAATTGTAATTTTTCTCTTAATTCTATAGTGCCAAAGTATTATATTATCAATAGTAATGTCAAAGTTTGTTTCATATTCATGCGTTCTGCGTAAGCATTAGTAGAAAATCTACGTTTTTAACATGTAAGAAAAGGCATTTTTGTAGTATATTGCAGATTATTTTTTATCAAAAGACAACTAGTCTTATCATTGTCTAATGATTAATGTTATTCAGGTACGTTGCAACACTTTTCTCGTAAGACTGGCTAATTTTTCTTATATTGCTGCCTTTTCTGTCCAATAAAGCAAGTTATTTTTGTAATTATTATTCAGAAATATTATATTATTTCTCACACAACACGCTAATATTGTGCATTTCTGTGAAAGTTGATGAACTCGTCATTTTTTTAAGGATAGTAATAGACAGTCAGTAAAATAATTGCTAAAAATCTAAAACTGCCATGATTGAGTTGTTAAATAATTGAAATAACTTAAAAAAAGTTATCTTTAATAATAAAAAAAGACTCAATTGAAACTAATATGTAATTTATAACAGATGACTTATATTAATTGCAAAATACTGCATTAATAAATTCACAACTAAATGAATTTGCGGTTTAACACTACCATTAAAATTTCTAAGATTTCAATGACTATCATGCAAGATGTTCCTAAATAAAGTCCTAGACTCCCTCCTAAATTGCTGAAAAATTCAGAAATATCATACAATGGCCTTTGTTCTATTATTTCCTTTGTAGTTCCTAGATGAAGTTTTAAAAATGCGTAATTATTTTTGAAAAATTTAAAATCTTGTCCGTGTCTCAGTTTGAGCTTAGTCTTAAGATATTTATCAAAATATCGTCTGGAAGGCCAAGAAGATTTCCACACTTGTTCATTGTAATTTGTAGAAAAGCATGGCAAATCGCAATTGCATTTTGAATGATAGACGAGAAGATTGTTGATAACATCAAACAAGCACGAAATGTCCTTCATGTCAGTCATATTACACATTAAAGAATCTGTTTTATGAACAGGAACCATGGGATCAACGCAGTCACATTTTTCCTGATTGATTTCCTGTAGACAACCTAATATACAGTCCCTTGGATTTAATAACTGTAACCGATAATCCATGCATTTATCTTTATATGGAGCTGGTAAACGTTTGGTTTCGGTTGTTTTAATTTTTATGTGTGTTTCAAAGCCAGGACTTACAAGAATTCCTTTTTCTTCTATGCTAGGTTCTTCGAATGCACCATGTATAGTAACTAAAGCTCCTATTCTCATCGAAAGGTATTCAATATAAGAATCGGTCTCTAAGTTTAAAATTATTTCTAAATTGTTGTTATTTAAAAGAAGTGACTGTTTTGTTAGTAAACGTTTAGAATAAGTTGAAGGTTTAAACGTGTAGCAATTTCCAAATATTGTATTTTGATTAAATTCAAAATCGTTTGCTGAGCAAAAGCTTCCTTTAAAGGAACAATATTTAATGAAACTCTTTCCTCGAGTTCCGTATGCTTTACGTGCTTCTGCGTTTAATTTTGTATAGCTAGTGAGAAATTCAATCATGCTCATTTTTGATTTGTCGAATGTCTTATTTAAGACAGATGAATAGAAGGTTTGGCTAACAGGCATTAAAAACTGAAAAAGACCATCAGTTACCAAACCTTCCTCAAGATCAGTATGGATGGAATAATTGCAATAGTATGGAGTTTCTTTAAAACAAATATTATATATCTTTTTCATTGGGTTCAAATTGCAAACGGTAGTGGCGGGATAGAGATCACTATTTTCGTCAACAAGTCTTAGAACAACAACAATCGGATAGTTGAAGAAGGAATTAGTAAAACAAATAATTTGATATAATGATGCCATAACTCCTGCTATTATAATAACTGTCCATAATTTTTTTAGAATTTTGTTATTCGAATCGAACACTTTCGAAACTCCTATGATGCTCACTCGTAATGGACTTGAATAGAATGTTAACATTTTATGGAATATTTTTTGAAATATGCTATTTTAATTCTTTTAATAACCTATTGATAATTTTCTTACATTGATGATTAAAAACCAATGATTAATAATGAAGATTAAAAATAAGTAATCAGTGTTTAAAGTACAATTGCTCGCAAACCAATGAGAAAATGCCCTGGAGGTCCACAAAGACTTATTAATGCTTAGGATGGTGAAAAACCCAGATTAAAAGAGTTTTTAAAATTTAAAACTCCTAATAATATCTATAAGTGCACCAATGCTTATTATATTTCTAGAACATATTGTATCATTCTCATTGTATTCTTAGATTATCATATTATTTTTGCGAATGATTTCATTAAAATTGTCAGTTAACACGAAATGCGTTTTCATATACAGTATTTTAATAGAATAAGAATTTAAGCTGTGCCGAAATAAAACAATTTTTATTGATTATAATTTAATGTCAATGCGTGTGTCACATTACCATCTATTCATAAACAGTTTCCTTTATTTACTCTGAAATGATTTTAACTATATTATGAATCTGTTTTTATATTACATCCAGGTACACGAGTTTTTGCACTCCAATTATATTTTTGCGTGTTCCTTTTAGATTTCGCAAATGAAATGAAAAGAAAGAAATATTTAGTCTAATGGAAAACATTTTGACAATCATTGATTGAAATTGATCTCATATATGAGGTGAAGCTAAGATAGTTTGTGCACAATTCAGCAATAAATAAATAAATAAAAACAAATCTATATTTTTGCTTTTTGCTAAACTATACCCTGAACTTTCATTCTAAAATTATGGTGAAATAACCGACAGCAGTCTTTCTATCCAATTAACCGTAAAGTTTAAGGTAAAGAAAATTTTTTACCTTCACGGTTTTGAAACCCCGTTTACAACCAGCATGGTTAAAAACCATGCAGACAAAACTAGACTGATTTTGAACCATTTGCAACTAACATGGTTTCATAACTGTTAAAAATAAATTTAACTAGACATTTAGAGGTAGTTTATCAGCTTCATGGTGCTGCCGCCTGTGTGTGAATGAGAGTATCGTATTTAAATAGTTTAGGGTCACCAATTGGGGAAAACAGGACGCTTAAAGCTCTTCATATATTGATTATTGTGGTGTCGACACTGTGACTCGACACTGTGTTCGTCGGTCATGAGATTGACAAAATGGCTCCCTCGGTTTTAATTAATATGTACCTAAGGAACTAAGTGGTTGCAGTTACCTCTTAAATTTCGGGAGTAAGAAATCCAAATCCGTTGAAAAAAAGGTATGTTTATTCTGAAAAAGTATGTTTTTGCATCTGATTACCTTATATTTATCAATATTATTAGATTTATCAATATTAATATATTTAAAAATATTATTATATTATGAACAATACTTTATATTTTTTCCTGTAATTTCAGCATAATGTTCCTCAAAATTGGGGAAAGGAAAAGCTACAAAAGGTAAGGGGTGAAACACCAAAATTGATTTGTTATAAAACTTGTCCATAACGCTTTCTACCAATAGTTTATCAATGCGAAAACTATATAATATAATCTGTGCATAATCCCATTTTAGTACTATACAATTCAGTAATTTCCTTTAAGAGGATATAAGTTAAGCTTCGATTGCCAATTAAACTAATAATAAAAATTATACTCAAAGTGTTCCATAATGAATTACATTAGAAATATTTTTAGAATCCCTGTCAAAAAATTAACTCAGTGAGTAAAAAATAATTATAATTCAGTGAGTAAAAAATAAAAGCACTAGCGAATAACAAATGAAAAGGTCGGATTGAAAAATAAATAAAAAAATCGCTTTATTTGTCTGATGAAACTTGTGGAGGTTTTTTATAACTAATTTCCAAACCCTTCCAGTTTTCAGAATAATCACACAGGTTTTGATGTTTTCAGTTCACCTTTCTTTAACAATGTCCTTCCGATAGCGTTTTTTCTTAGTTCAAATATAGTTTAGACCAAGGGTTTCCAACTGGTGGCTCACGGGCATCATCCGACCCTCGAAGCCTTTTTTTTTGTGGTCCGCGAACTTAAATATATTAGTTTTCATAGCGGACAATTTTCGTAAAAAATCTATAAGGGCTTNTCACAAAATACTTTTTTTTTTAAAAAAAAAAAAAAAAAAAAAAAAAAAAAATAATCTGTGAAATTTAACATACCAACGGTGCAAAAAAAAATATTTCCCAGGTTTTACATCCAAGAAAATATTTATTCAAATACAAAAATACTCGTGTATGTTGCTCTCTTTTTTATTTCTTTTTTTTAATATTTTTTTATTTTGTGAATATAATTTATCATGCGCGTATCAGAGATTCTCCAATTTAGCTTTTTGAAACCACTCATTTTGGACGAAATTATTTACATTTGTAAATTTTAAAGTGCATAAAAGAGGGAATGAATATCATGTTTTATCGAAATTCCTTGAATTGAATATCGCATGAGCGGAAAAGAAAAAAAAATTATTTCAGATGCTCGAGAATTTTTTAGTTGTTGCTATAATTCCTAATAAGTCGAAAAAATGTTAATTTATCACAGAATTAAATTTGAAAGTAAAAAAAGTCACTAAGTTTCAGATTAAGAGAAGATTCATAATGATACGTAACAAGCATTATTTGTAAAGCTTGTTATTTTGTCTTTTTTTAATATTAAAAAAACTTTTATGAAAATCTGACAGCAATATTTAATGTTCCTTAAAACATAAAAGAGTCCTATATAAAATTTCGATAAAGTTGTGGCCCGACATTTGACTGGTGTTTTTCATTGCGGCCCCCGGCCTCATGTAAGTTGGAAACCCCTGGTTTAGACCCTTGATCTGTGCTTTTTTAAAAAATTTCTCTTTTGACCAATATTCCGAAAATGTATATTCAGGGTAGTCATTTAGAAACACTAGGTTCAGAACACAGAAAAAAGAAACCCGGCCTTTTCGAGGGAGTGACCTCAAATTTGCTACATAATTAGAGTAGATAATATTTTAAGTTGCGAAGTTGGGCATGAAAATGCATTTTTTCTGAATAAGCATAATGTTTCCCTGGCGGATTTGTATTCCTTACCCTCAAAATATCGAGGAAAGCCGCAATTTGGGAAATAGTGTCCCAATAGTTTGATCAAGAGAGTAGTCCAAAGTTTATATCCTTTCATGTTAATTTTATATTTTTTCTCATTAGCCTATATTTCGTGAACTATTTCAGCAAATTGAAAACATTTTCCACACGATTATAAAATTCATTTTTTCAAAGATGGTTCTAAGTAAGAAAATAATAGTTATTTATTATTTTACTTAATAATAGTCGAAAAAACTTTGACTTAGAGGCATACAGTTTTTTACAATAATTTAAAGAAAGCAATTTTAAAAGGCAAAATACAAAATTTGACCGAAATCGGTCGAATTTTTCCCGAGAAATCGAATTTTAAATCCGTCAAAAAAAAGGTAGGTTTATTAAGATTAAGTTCGATTTTTTACTCCTTTCTTAATTTAAAATATTGTCAGCACAAAAGAGTTAGAATATTTGAAGTCACACCCCTGAATCCTTAAGTTGAGTCCTACTGCGTGTAAATCTGAATATTAGGGGGGGGGGGTCAGTAATTATCAAGAGTGCTTTATTTTTTTCCTGTACATTTTATTCAAGTTCATAAGAAAACACATAACCATTTCATGACATACGTTACATTTGGATTTCATATAACAACTTGTGCTATTATAAAAATATTTTTAAAATATTTCATTAGTAAATACAAGATAAAATAAATCGTTTTTAAATATTCACGTTACCATTCCATTCATAATGTTTATTAAATTCTGACTGTTTTATTATCTGTACGCAAATTCATATTTCTTAACATCAGACTAACCTATTTTATTGTTATGTCTTATCTGTTCTGAGTTTAGGAAGAAGCGTAATCGAAATGATAGATAAACCTTCAAATATGACAGAAAGAGATAAAACCTTCATGTAAATATTCTTACAAATAATAAAATTAATGGCTGAATTTATTTAAAAGAACTGAACAATTTTTATAAATTTTTTTTAGTTACTTTGTTGCTTGCATAAACACATAAAATTTTTAAAAACTATTTGGTTAGCATTAAATAAATTAAAAGAAAATAAAAAAATCTAAAAGAAATAATAGGACACAAGAATTAATACTGCTGTTTTTATTTTTCTATTCAAGAAATCTTTAAAAAATAATTTGTTGGTATCTTTTTAAACCTAAATAGAGAAATTTTTAAATTGCGTAGTGCACTTCAGATATTAAAATTTTTTTTAGCTTACTTATTAAAATTTGTTATTTTTTTATTATTATTAAATCCTTAGAGTATTGAAATTTAATACGCGTTACGTGATAATTAGTTATTATATGCACATAGCTACTTAAATTCTGTAAGAGAGTGTATTAAAAAGAATCATAAACCCATATTAAAGGAAAGCTTATTTTTTACGTATTATTTTATTTACTCATTTATAATTGCAATTTTGATAACTATCATTCTTTTCATCAAATTTTCTAATTAAATCGTTAAGTTATGTTAATAAACGAGTAATTAATTAAAATCCAATTCAATAAAAGTTAGAAGTACATGAAAATCTGCTCCACAAAATTTACCGAGCCTTCTGCTGTTCCCTTAGAGAAAGAAAAACGGTAAAATTTACCATATCCTGGTAGTTTTGACCCTACTTTTTTCCTCAGTGCAGCAGCATAAAAAATAAATTTTTCAACTTCGCGTAAAAATTGAAAATTATTCAAAATGTTTCAGCCTAATTAATTGGAATTTTTAAAAAAAATATCTTATTGCATTAATACATATTTCTTAGTTTAAATTGCATTTTTAGTATAATTCAGCCATTATTTCAAGGTTTCAAGAGGCCAGTAAGCAGGTTCACTACAGTAGATCAGTAGCATATGTATATACAGTGGCGCTCACGTACTTAAGGACATGTCTTTATGAAAAGTAAAATCCAAAATTTAGTGTTTACGCGTAAGTTTATTGAACTGATAATTATGTATTGGAGCAAATAACTTATTTTTAATATATGTTCACAATGAAAATCATTTATCTACCTGTTATACTTAAACTATGTAGCATTTTAGAAAAAATATGCATTCCGCATACTTAAGGACAACAGAATAAATATTTCTTAATCGTTAATAAAATTAATAACAATGTAAAAAATGTAACAAAAAATAAAGATTTGGAGCTAGTATTTAGTCAGTAAGCCTTTTGCGGCAATTATTGCTTCACATCTACGAGGCATCGAATGTACTAATCTTTGAGATCGCTCATCAGGTTTTAGCTGCCCAGCCTTCTTGGACCCATTTCCATAAATCACCTAAATTTTTTGGTTTTTGCTGTTTCATATATTTATCCGCATCTATCCACAGCATCTCGATCGGGTTGAGATTTGGTGATTGGGAAGGTCACTGCAAAACCTCAATTTTCTTGCTTGACAAGAAGGCTTTCGCAGTTTTGCTCGTGTGCTTTGGATCATTATTGGCTTGCATGATTGATTTTCTTGAGCGAAGTTTCCTGTAACAAGGCAGAAAAACAGTTTTGATAATGTCCACATACACATGCTGATCCATGATGCCTTCGATTTTGTGAATTGGACCACATCCTGAACATATCATAGCACCCCACACCATCACCGAGCCGCCTCCACCTTCTACAGTTGATTTTGTACACCGTACATTAAATTCTTCACCGACTCGACGCGTCACATAACTTTTGCCATCTGAGCCCATTCTGTTGAGCTTCGATTCGTCTGTAAATATAACTTGATTCCAGTCAGCCGATGTCCAGTTTTGGTGTCTTTTTGCAAAAGCTAATCGAGTTGCTATATTCCTCTTTGACATCAACGGTTTTTTTCTACATACGCGACCCATAAGACGAAACTCATTTAAAAGCCGTCTTGATGGTATTATTGCTTACGTGCTTGCCTGTTAATTCAGCGAATTCTTTTCTGAGGTTTTGTGACGATCAGCTTCAGAAATTTGATGAATAATTCGATCTTCTCGTTCGGTAGTTTTGTGAGGACGTAGTTTTCGGGATGCGTTTTCAATACTTTTGGTCACTTGAATAGATTTCAATGCATGGTAAACTGCTGTTTTCGATAATTTTAACCACCCACCGATTTCTCTAATGCTTAAACCTTCTTTTCTCAGAGTATCTATTCGACATCTCTATTCATTGCTAACATTTTTTCCTTTACTCATAATAATGTTGAAATTTGTACTAAGTAAAGAAAAAAAAAATTAATATAATGTTTTAAACCATCAAACAAAGATAATGTAGTAAATTACACTTACATTGATCGATAAATTGATTGTAATAATTCAATAACTCATGATAAGACAAACTGTCCTAAGTACAAGAAACTTAATAAAATACTATATTTTTTAAATAAACTTTTATGAAACACTTGTGAACACGAATGAATTATTTGAGGATTGAAGTTCAACTAAGGTAGAATTCGTCATTATAGATATCTTAATCAAAACATAATATTCATCCAATATAATGACGTATTTATTTTGAAAACACAGTCCTTAAGTACGTGAGCGCCACTGTATACTTGATGACTTATTACTTCTATTTAGGTAGTCAACGCTAAAGGTTACCTAACGCTTCCTCACGATGTTGTGAATTTCTTTTGCAATGCCAATATTATTATATAGTAAGGAGCATTTATTGAAAGATAAAAAAGAACAAAAACTGTTATCAGTCTTGAAGTCATCAAACCTATCTATAAAATTGGAGTTTAGATGGGCGCCATCACAGACAAATAACTCCCGTTGTGATAAATTTAAAAGCGATAAAGCGAGTAACTGTATCTGTCGTTGCTATTCAGTGATATTATCTAACCGCCGTATGTTTCGCATTACAATCCTTTTCGAAGAAATATTTATTAAGATGAAATTTAGGGAGATTTCGTAAGAACTAATTGAGAAATGATTTTCGAAATTTTGAATGGATGTAAGAAACAATTAAAACGAATTTTTATTTTATTTTAATGAAAACAAATGAATAATTTATTCCTGATTCAGTTTAGTTTGTATCGTAATTTATTTATGTAAAAAATAAAAATTTAACGATGGATAAAAATAACATTTTGATTAAAATGCTTAGAAAATTGAGAAAACTCTCAATAATGAAGTTGGCATTCTTTGGATTATTAATTTTGTGTTTACTAGTTGTGATTTCCTTTTTAAGAAATTCAGATAATCAGTCGACTCAGAGTGGGGTAAGTAATACTTAAATTTTTGTATTATTTTATGTGTCTATTTTGCGAAGAACAAAGTAAATTACTCAGCATTATTGAAATATTTAACTGATTTGTGAGTCATTATTTGAAATAATAGGTTTTATAAAAAAGTCGAAACAACGTGAAAAAAGTCAAACCAACATACGTTTCAATGTTAAAATGAAGCATTTTCTTTAGTGTCGGATCAGAGAATAAAGAGAAAGCACAAAAATATAGAAATAACAAACAAGTTATATAAAAGAGGAAAAAAATGATTGTAGAATTGGATAGAGGAGCAAAATTGAATAAATTTTCTTTGAGGTAATTCTATTTTTTTCCTGGTTGTAACTTGTTTGTAATTTCTTCTGAATCTTTTAGTCTCTTTATTTTGCATTATAGATATTGCGAAATAGAGACATTATGTGTCTCTATTTCTAAGAAGGTGCTTTATTGTAGAACTGAAATGATTGCATGTCCGCTTATTTGTACTGATTCGTGCATTTCTTTTATTATTGTTACGTTCAACACAGTTAATCTTTCTCTGCTGAAAAAAACTCTGTTATTTAAACAAAATAATAAGGATTAACGAATTACGCCCACAAATGAAGAAGAAAATCAAATATTTTTCGAAGTTCTGAAATGTTAAGAGATTAATTTCGTATTTAAGGGATATTTTATTTTTCCAAAATTGCAATTTATGAGCACCTTTACTGAAAAACCTTAAGATATAATTCTCAGATAATGGCAAGATTAAATTTCTTACTGTGAATAGTTTTTGGTTAAATTTTTTAAGAAGATTCTATAAATAAGCATACAAATTATAATTAATTTTTAACACTCCGTGTATAAAATTGCATCTTACCAGAAAAACCTAAACAGATACCCTTTGATAGTAAAGTTATAAGTTAAGACATTTTAAGAAATTCCTTAAAAGTTAACGTTTATAATTTTAATAAACCAATACTATAAATGTTCGGAGATAAAGAACAAAAATGACCTATCTACCAATTTATAATATTAGTTAAAATTTGAATCAAATCACACTGTTAGAAACTTCTCAGAAAAATGGTTAAATAATAATTTATTTCATTATTTTGCTACATTCGAACAGAACTATTAAATAACCATAAATAAGATGGTATTCAAACTGTTAACTGTGGAAAAAACCGTTTATTAACTACTTTTTTCATACGTGTTAAACAACCAGAATTTTATCGTACCAACTAGGCTCACCTAATGAAGTTACTTAGTTCCTTGCAGCTTTGTACATGTTATAGCCAAGAGTGCTGATCTGTCAATCTCATGACCAACAATCATGAGATTCCCAGTCGAGTCCGAGAGATGACACCACAACTATTACTTAACGCCTATTATTTACTACCACAACTATTACTAACGCCTATTACTACCACAACTATTAACCACGCCTATTACTTAACGAAAAGCCAAGCTCCAATGTTTAGTTAAATTTCTCTTTTAATGGTTTTGAAAAAAAGCTGGTTGTTAATGGTTAAAAAACCATATAGTTCTGTATCCATGGTTTTTTGACCATACTAGTTGAAAACGGTTTATAAACCGTAAAAGTAAAAAATATTCTATACCGTAAGCTTTGCAGTTAATTGGATAGGAAAACTGTTGCCTATTTTACCACAATTTCAGAATGAAAATTCTAACAGTGCCGTCGAAAATTGCAGACGCATTACTTATGAGTTTGAAATTTAATTTTCGGGATAGTATTTAACTTTTTATTTAAGAAGGTAATATAACCAAGTTACAATAATCTTCTGTTTTATATAATCAGTGTACATTTTACAGAGATTTCGATAAAACCATTTGTAAGAGCTTTAATCATACTCCTCTAAATATTTGTAGCCATTTTAACTCAATACTTTTAGATCAATTGCGAGAGTAAATGTGATAACTGGTGCAATTGTTAGTTCTAAGAATTTTCTTCATATTGAATATCGCATTAATATTATTATTTTCAGGAAAGCTTTTAATGTTATATATGTCAGATATGCTCTATATGGCTTTCTAAGTTTAAAAAATTCAGTATCGAGCATCATACTTTTTCACCAACTTCAAATTTTCGAATCAGCTATTTAAATCTTATGTATGATAAAGTAGCGTAGATATTTTGCTACGTTAAATTATAAAAATGTAAAAAAAATTCTATCAATAAAAATTCTATTTTTTTGCAAATTTGTTATTAGACGATATTTTATGTTTGCAGACGACACGGAATGCCGACTTAATGTACGTAAAGATAGCTCCACCAGTGTTTTCTGAAGATATGCTGGATTCCAATTTCGAGTCTTGCTTTTTCTCCAATTCTTTAAATTTTTCTTATTCAAATGAGTCAACTTTGACTCATGGAGAAGACAGTAAGGTAGGATTTTTGTTATTATTTACAAACAAATAAATTTTTTATTTTTTGTAATTTTTACTAAGTTAGTCGTAAAATAGTTGAAATATGCATTTTATTTAAAATATTTTTCCTCAGTCTCCCACTCTTATTTTTTGTTTAGAAAAGTATTAAGCTAAGTTTAGTTAAAATACTCCAAAATGCTCTTTACACTAAAGAAAAATTTGTTGCTTAGCAACACAGAGCAGTATTTCCAATGAATACGCAAAGAGTTGAATAAAGAAAAAAATTACCACTCCAGAAGAGGCCCAACTACGGCCTCCTTTGCTCCATCACGTGATTTAAATCAGATGTACGTGAGGATTAAACCTGATTGGCTTGGGAATCAACAAATGCTAAGATTTACTCACGATTGCGTCACTTGCAGTTATCCAATAAGATACCCCCAAGTCTATCTATCTATCTATCTATCTATCTATCTATCTATCTATCTATCTATCTATATATCTATCTAT